TTTCACCTATGTAATAAATTTAGCCTCACTCTTTCCCCAGTTATTATGTTAGTCAGCTCCCCATTCCCTGTGTGAGCTTTTTAGTGCTGAAAAGAAAAATACTTTTTAGCAGCAAGAAAATGTGATTACAAACCAACTCAAATTAGCAGAAGAGGAAATGTTAAAAAAAAAATAAAACAACTGAACAGATTTCAAGTTGCCTTCAAGTATCATTTTGGTTTACATTAAATATTTACACTTTTTTTTTTTTAAATAAAGTATCATTAAGATTATTCTTTGACTGTACATAGTGGGTAACAAGTACAGGACTATAAATATAAGCCATATGTTACATTAGGGTAGTCTTTGGATGTTAGCTGTTGATAAAATTGGTGCTTTGGATATTTTCGAATCACCAAAAAAAATCTCAAAATTTTTTTAGAAAGTAACTAGCACTAGTAACTGCCTGTAAATAGATTTCTACTCTAAGCTGTAAGCACTTGCATATACTGGTATACAAGCTGGACAATTATAAGGAATTTCATACTGAAAAAGTAAATTTGTAGTTAACATAGTCCAACTAAATTAAATAAAAAATTTCTTGGCTGTGATATCTGAAAGAGATTCCTGGAGAAGGGTATTCACTTGCACTTGTAGTGGGAAAGAAGTACCATATGAATAACATCCAATAAACTCTTGCTCTTTACCAGTTATTAACAAATCCTGCAAAAAACCATCATCCACTACATCTGACAGAAAAATGATTCCATTTGAAACTTTTCCCATGTCTAAGTCCAGATACTTAGACACATAAGAGCACCAAACAAGAGATGCTTGCAAAATCACAATTACAGAAGTGAAAATACACTTTTGCAAACAAGTTTCATTATATATACTCCTTCATGTTTGACTAGTCTACAAATAAAGCTGTCTAACACACAGCAGTTGCTATAGCTTTATTAATGGAATTTTTAATTTGGGTATTGTCTATCGCAGAATAACTCTCAGAACTGTAAACTAGGTAGTACTAAACTGTATGCTGAAAGAACACAGTTCTCCTCCCAGAGAATCTAGAATCTATTAAATTTTTCTTTAATCTTATTTAGCAGGAAAAAAAAAAGAATAGGGTACTATTCATTAAAAAAAAAAAAAGAAAATTAAAATTAAAATTAAAAGAAAATTAAAAAGAAAAAAAGCAAAAAATAATCACTCTGCAACTTGGAAATTTTAAAATATCATTTGCTTGTATATGTACATCAAAGTGCAGCTCTCTTGAAAGTAGGAAATGACAATAAAGAAGCTAGTAGCCTCCCAAACCTGGTATTTTTCAGGAGATATTACTCACAATTCAGTTTAGCAAAAATTGATACGGGTTAGGATCTGTGGAAATCTGAATAGCTAAACAGTGGCATTTAATTATGCTTTGGGATCCTATCTTTAATGACACAGATTTGTAAACTATTTCCTAAAATTATTTTTATTTGTTCAAGAAAGCATTACTCAGAAAAACACAACAATACTACAGTCCATTGACATGAGACAACATTAAGAGTACGTGATTCAGAAAACCAGAAACAGTTCTCCAAAAATGATAGACATTTTAGTCAATTTTCAAAATTTAAGGTGCTTCTAATTAATTTGTTTTGGAGCTGGTCAAAACTTTAAAGGGTTTCTAGAGGAGAACAAAGATGACAAACTTTCTGCACTTTTAAAAAGCTGTCTTTCTCTTGCTAGTACCCGATTTCAGAAGCTAGCAATTTAAGAAAACACCAGGTACTGTAAGATTCATAACAACACTATGACAAGTGGTAATACAACTACATAATGTGTCCTTTCAAAATCACATTGATTTACAAACTATGCCTGTGTGTGCACCAGAAATCTGTTACTTCACATGCAATGTCTGCAGGCATTTGGAAATCTTTTTATCACAGGTATGGCTGGGAAATGGGGAATAATCTGGATATTACAGTCATACTGATGTAATGTAGGCAGCCAAGCATCACAGCAGGCTACCTACAGAACAGACCTACAGACTGTTTGCAAAGATTTTGGGTTACTCTTAGTCTCACTACATGCTGGGGCTCATCCAGAGGTTGTGGATAGCACCCAGTCACTACTGCCTAAATCAATTTTAAGCTGGGAGAAGTACATCCTCTCAATTATCTGCGTCATTCCACTTTCTGTCATTCAAAGCCATGGGCTGGCATGTCATAGACTACTGCTAATTGAGCATGAGGGGCATCTAAACAAAATAAATATCCCTGGATTGAGATATGCTAATGCTAGTACTATGCAAGCATTACAAGAGTAAAGGGATTCCAGACAGATGAAGCCAACAGTTTAGATTGCTCACTGCACAGAGAAGGACTGCAAATTAGACTCACTCCCTGGATTACTCCAAGCATTCAGTGCATGAAATACTGCTCCCACTCTGGCTTTTTCCTCTACTATGGCAGCATTTCCACTATGGGCAACAGTTCTTACCTGGTGCAGAGTTCAATTCTTATGCCACCTCTTATGTCTTGCATGTGATCACATAAATATGGAAAACTAATACTGATGAAAATGCTATTGCATACAAAATAAAGAAGAGAGAAACAAGTAAGGGAAGTAGCTGAAAGTCCAGGGGGAAAAAAACACCACACCAACAATCAGTCAGTCTCGTGGGCTGTTTCTTTGAGGAACCCAGACAAAAAGAAAGAGATAAACAGTGACAAACTATGTTCTTCTGTACCATCAACACTCCTTTTCCCGAATTTCTCATCTGATCTTACAGGACCTTCTCTTCAGATAGAGAACAGAGTACTCTTGCATGTTCACTTTTGTACTGAAGTCTATCTTCTCAGCTTTCTCAAAGCTTTTTCAAAGCTTTTCTACTTCAGTTTCTCAATAAGCTAGTACAATAAATAGTATAATTTACCTATATGCCTCACTGAGAGGTCAAAGTTTGCAGTTATATTATAATAGGAGGTATGCATAAATGGGTATGTTTCAGTAATCAGAATTGAATCAGAACTGAAATTATTCTTTAGAACAACTTGCTGTACCCCTGAAACTATTGTATGAGCTTGCTGGTTTATATTCAAAATTGTTCACATGCACAGATTTACACTTTGTTGTTCTTTTTGTTTGTCTGTTTGTTTTTAAATACCTTACCAACCAAAACAAAAATCTCACAAATGAGCACTGAAAGATGACACAAATTTGTATACAAGGATTTAGATTTCCAAAAAGAGAGTGAAAATGCTTACTTATTCAAACAACTGCAAACAAAACATAGTATCAAACTCAGTAACACCTCTGAGTCTACTAACAGATGCAAATAAAATTTTATTTTTAAAATGTCCTCTTTTTGTGAAAATCGTATTTTGCCAGTATGTTTGGCAAAACTTAAAAAACATTGATTTGCAGTTAATTTTACTTATTCTAGCAACAGCTTGCCCTCACTTTGCACCAAATACACAGCATATTTATTACCTATTATTATCTGTTATAGGGAGTTAAGAAATGAATACTTGAAGAAAATGAAGCATTTTGTGAAAGAATGGTTATACAGACACCACAAGTCAGGAAATCAACAGGTGTTCAAACTTGTTAGCAAAGAAAGACCAGGTTGCATGTGCCGGTGGGATCTTACTCCCTTTGGAAACAAAGTCTCAGATTCATATAGTGCTGAAACAGCCGAGGAAACTCTTCACTTTTCAACTTACTGATGCATGCACAATAGGTACTGAGTAACAAGATCTCTCAGTTGCAATAAAAACTGAAAACGCAGTTCTGAGAATATCATAATGCCAGGGAGGTAACCCTTAAAACAGAGATCAAATTGGTGCTAAGAGTCTCCAAAGCCAAGAAAAGCATGGGGAATATTACGTTGTGGGATTAAACTGCACAAGTTTAATAATACTTCGTATCTGACATGCAGGCACACTTCAACAGAAACTTAAAAACAGTCAATAAACAAAGAGTAGATACTTAATAAGAGAAGTCAAAGCAAGACAGTAGAATGCTAAGAAGGCATAAACTGAGTCAAAACAATTATTCACCAACTTAAAATATTAATTACAACTGAAATGGTTAAAAGATGCTAAAATGTCATCAGCTGCTTTTGCAGACATAAGAGTAGGAAAACTAGCCTGTTTGATTAAAGCTTTCTTCTCATTCCTAATTGTACATGTTGCTGTTCAAGTATACATTTGATGAAAAATATAAAAATAAATTTTGAAGTCACACAGCACTTTTATTAATTCACCTTAAAATAACTATTCCAGAAATGTACCTGCATATTCCTTGCAAATCAAAATCAGGAAAGAAAGTTTACTTATGAATGAAGGACATGGAGACTTAATCTCAAATTGCAAAACCAAAGCACATACAGACCATAGCAGATCCTGGCACAGAGCTCCCAGATAATGCAAATCCTCAGCTTCCAGGATGCGAAGGAAGTGTGCACTCTGTTGCAGAAGCACACCTCTGGATGTAGGTGTCTATTGTGATGGCACTTTGGTTGAGAGCGTGCTCTTTCATAACAAATAGCATTATGAGAGCTGTCATCGTCATTGTTTACAAATAGAATCCACCATACAGCTCCTCTGGGCTCAAGAACTATCTTTATCACATTTCATGCTACTTTATACACCGTTTCTAGGAAAGATCCCTAATTCTGTATGGGGTTCTGTGAAAAGAAAGAGCAACTGAAGAGATTATTGCCAGCAGCTCTGAGCAATCTCTTTTTGTTTTTAAACTGACACACACCAGAAAACAGTGTAGTTTTACAAGACCTGCATAACTTTCACAACTTGCACTGAAATTTAAAAGAATATAAAACCACAACAGAAGCTGCTCCCACTCCCAAACCAACGTTTGGGCACTGCTTGCCCATGTCAAGCCTCTCTGCCCGGGGCCGCTCGGCGCCCTGGCCCCTCCGGCCCCTCTGGCCCTGCACAGCCCCGGCTGCCGCCACTCCCGGCCTGCGCAGGGGGGAGCGGGGCGGCGGGGCCGAGCCCGCGGGCTCCTACCTTGTTCGAGGCCATTTCGCTGACGGAGTGCCTGGTCTGCAGGGTCTCCAGCTGGTCCAGGCACCAGTCCAGCTCCTCCATGGTCTCGCTAGCCAGTTTTTGGTAGGCCTCCTCTGCGAAAAGACAGGGAAAGGCGCGCTCAGTTGGCAAGAGTTTCACAGGGCTCAGGGGGAGCGCCAGCGCGCCCATCCTCCGCTGCCCGGAGCTCGGACACGGGCGCTGCTCCCTCATTCTGCCGGCGCGGGCAGCGGCCCTGCCCCTCCGCCGGGCCGCGCTCTGCCGAGCCCCTGGGGCGGTCCGGGCATGTAACTTCGGTCCTGCAGGGCTCGCTCGCCCTTTGCCTCGGCTCGCCTCCCGCCCCGGGGCCGCTGCCGCCCCGCAGCGCCGCCCCCTCGAGGGAGGCGTCCGGCTCCGCACCTCTCCCCGGCACCGCACCGTGTCCCGGCTCCGCACCGTGTCCCGGCACCGCACCTCTCCCCGGCTCCGCACTTCTCCCCGGCACCTCACCTCTCCCCGGCAACTCACCTCTCCCCGGCACCTCACCTCTCCCCGGCTCCGCACTTCTCCCCGGCACCTCACCTCTCCCCGGCACCTCACCTCTCCCCGGCTCCGCACTTCTCCCCGGCAACTCACCTCTCCCCGGCACGGGGGCACGGCTGCTGGGGGCACCCACACCACCCACACCCCGCCGGTAGAGCTGCTGAGCCGTCCTCCCCGTCCTTCTCTTAGCTACCCACCGCGGCACCATCAGAAATTAACGGGTTAACCTTTACAGGAGCGTGCGGAAAGGTGTAAGAGCACATGTAATCATAACAATTACGATTGTTACGGCTGGCCCGCCGAAGAGCCAGTTGTCAGAGGACTGCTCAAATAACTGCAGCCGTATTTGTTCTAACGCAAAGCCAATGTGTGTGTGTGCTAGAGCAGGCACAAAGTATTGCATGTTGGCTGTATGCACAAAAGAACTGATGAAAAAGTTTTGGAACTGGGCATAGGAACACAATATGAGAAACGAACCCAGTAATGTTATGGAAAACCATGGTTTAACCAAAATTGCTTAATATTCAATTGGAACTAACTGTCTTACAGAAGTTTCAGTTACAGACAGGAAGACATACTCTTCTTCAATAACTCCCCAACAACAGGAAATCTGTCAGTATGCAAATAATTTTAGAAAAATAATCCAATATACAAAGTGCAAGCCTCACCTACCAAGCCTGGCTATTTTTTATTCTAGTGTAGATCTGAATAGAAGGCAAGAATGCTCCTCAACATTGAACTCAGAGCTGAGTGTGTGTCAGCCCAGGTATCCTGTCTTGCAAGCTGTGTATCTGAAACATCAAGTTCTGAAACTGCTGGCATGGACACATCTAGATCAGCTACATGCAAACATTACACCAAGGCAGAGAAATGTTTCTTCAGTGGGCTTGTTATGGACATCTATAACATCTCCCTTGACTTGTTTCACATCTATAACATCTCCCTTGATTTGTTTCACATCTATAACATCTCCCTTAACTTGTTTCACATCAAATTAGCCTTATTTTCAAAATCTCAGGCATGCAAAAATCAGGAAAACAAATTAACTAAAACTCCTTTTCAGATAAAACACCCAACATGGACTACTGCCAAACAGCTCAGTGCATTGCTGTACAGTATCCTGGGTACCAGACCTGTATCTTTTTATGTTTCTGAGCACATGCTCAGAAACTTCAAGTTCCCTCACAACTTTTAAACTTCTTTTGGCTATTGCATAAATACTTCACAATTTTGAATAAAGTTCACTTTCATCTGAAAAAACAGTAGCACAAGAAGTTTGAATTGAGATGAAATGGCAGAACCATTTAATGAAAATTTTGTAGTGCTTTCCACTTCAATAAACACATCAACCAACATTCAACAAAATCCCTTTCCATTAAATTGTAAACCCTATCATTCAGATGCATACTTACTACAAATGCTGTCTCATCCAAAGGAATTCCCTGGCCAATAAAGTCAGGATTTCCAGCCTGTTTATCTATTGAAAGAGAATCAATGATGGTCTATAATACAACACACATCACAGATCACTAGTTCTTGAACACAGTAAAACAAATTTGTATGATGTTACTTTCCTGCTAGCCCGAAGCCTGCCCAACAGCAATTCTTGAAAATCAGATACTGGAAACCACATTTTTCTTAACAAGGTCTTCCTTCTTAACATCTCTTCCAGTATTTAAGAGAGTATGTAGACAAGGTTTCTTCCCAAGAAATATGAAAACAACAAAATAAACTCAAGGGATACAATATCCAGGTAAAACTAATAAAATGCTCAATTTGCTATTTATTTAGCAAAAATATATACATTACCAATAGCACCTCATTCAGTAATCTCTATCTTATTCAGCAATCTTTATCTATTCACCTTCCCAGTACATCTCAAAGCACATTAGAAAGCAGAATCCATCACTCACAAGTACCTCACCCTCAGGATGCTTCTCACAATCTCCCACTTCGAACTGCCACACTTCAAGAGTCTCTGACTGCCGTGGGGACCTGACTGACCACTCGGACTAAGTAAAACTCTGATGGCCAATGCTAGGCTTAAGACTTGCCGGACTTGGCACCACCTGATAATTCTTAGAACTCAGAGCTGTCAGACCAATCTTAAATGGAAATAAAAGGTTTTCTAAATGATGGCAAAGTACCCATCAAACAAGCACACCTGCAGTTCTGAAGGGCAGAACAACCGTAGGAAAGCTTTTTCTGAACAGTACCAAAGCTCTAAATTTGGCCCACACTTTTGTTGTTATACAATGTGGTGGAAAATGTTGAGGTTAACAGCTTTTCAAGTATAACACTCCGGTGCCACTAAGCTAAGAATAAAAGAATAATTATCAACTGTGCAGCTTTGAGAGCCTCACAACACTGTTTCTGACTTCTCTGTTACCTCCAAGATAGCGCGCTGTAATTAGATCCAGGACTGATCTACTAATGGGTTTTTTTGTTTTAGACACATGATCAAGCTTCCACACCCCAATGATGAAGTCCTAAAACAGATTAACTTCTGTAAATGACAGGCATCTTGAAATGTCAAAGGTTCTTTTTATGTCTCATTAGGCCCTAATATGAGGAAGAGAACATTTTAACACCAGGTGCTTTAAGAATTTGCATGTTATTTTGTATATGCTTTTACAAAAAAAGGAAGTGACAGCAAGTGTTCTCTTTTCAGTTTAAAGATTGCAAGCAATTCCAATATATGTAGCTTTCAGTATGGTACATAGGAAAAAAACAAAACAAAAAAACAACAAATGAAAGGCTAGCAGAAAGAAAAAGCTCTACCATAATCATTTGACTCTGCACAGCTATTTTTTTAAAGAGCGTTCTGTCTGTGTTTATAAAAGACTTGATTCTTAGCACAGCACCTAACACACCACCATAGATGGCTGCACTTTAATTCACATCATTATTTGGGAACAATTTCTGTTCAAAAATTTTGAAGGGAAAAAATTACTATATGGCAATACTTATGTAGAGTGTCCACTTTATGTAATGGTTTTTCATGATTTTCATATAGGTTGTTCTGCTATTCCTGGAGAACAAAAAGCAATATTACACTTTTGTACTCAAGTAGAAAAGCACTATAGTGTATTTGTACTAATCTTTGCAGTATTTTAAGGAATTTCAGAACAGCAAAATCAAAAAATAAGTAAAGATTCTTCACTGTTGTCTGATCAGTTGAGATCTTCTACGTGATGCTAAGAAACTGGACAAGAGTTGACTCAGCAAGCACACAGCGAAAGGCTTTGACCACTTGCCTTAAAATGGGAGTGTCTTGGAGGCAAGAGAAGAACTCTGCCGAACAGTGATGTGATCCAGACAGTCTTGGCATGTGTACTGTCTTTTAGAGCTGCAGACTGCTGGTAGAAGCTCTGAAAACCTCCAGGCTATTCTAGATGAAATGAAGATCTAACCAGAAAAGGAAGGTCAAAGCAGGTGTGCACCCCCTTATAAACAATATTAAAAATAAACTGGTAACAACAGATGAGAAGAAAGCTGAGGTACTCAACAAATTTTTTCTACCATCTTCATTTCTATCTTTGCAGACCTCTTGAGAGTACTGACAGATGGATAGGGACTGGGATAACAAAGTCCATTGTAAGGGAAGATCAGGTTTGTGACCACCTAAGGAAGTCTAATATAAATATGGCACCCAATGGGCTACATCCCAGAGTCCTCAGCTAAATGGCTGATGTAGTTACCAAGCCACTCTCCCTGGGGTTTGAAAAGTCATGGCAGTCAGGTGAGAAGTCCTTTTGACTGGAAAAGGGGAAACATTGTGCTCATCTGTAAAAAGGATAGAAAGGAGTAAGTACCCTGGGAACTACTGACCTGTCAGGGTTACTTCTGTGCCTAGGAAGATCATGGAAGAGATCCTCCTAGAAGCTGTGCTATGGCACAGGGAGGTGATTTGAGACATCAGCACAGCTTCACCAAGGAGAAGTCCTGCCTGACCAATCCAGTGGCCTTCTCTAGTGGACTGACTGCATCAGTGGACAAGGGAAGGGGTGTGGATGTCCTGGACTTCCATAAATCCTTTGGTATCGTTGCTCACAACATTCTGCTCTCTAGATGGGAGAGAGATGACTTTGAGAAGTGGACTGTTAGATGGATAAGTAATTGGTTGGATGATCACATTCAGAGGGTCATGGTCAAGGACTCAAAGTCCCAATGGACATCAGTGGCAAGTGGTGCCCTCAGTGGGACCAGAGTTATGTAATATCTTCATTAGTGGAACAGACAAAGGGATTGAGTGCACCCTTAGCACATTTGCTGATGACCAAAAGCTGAGAGGTGCTGTCGGCACACCTGAAAGATGGATGCATCCAGAGGGACCTGGACAAGCTGGGAACATGTGGCTCATGGGAGCTCCATGAGATTTAATAGACCAAGTGCTTTTGCTGCCTCTAGGCTGAGGTAATCCTAGGTTGTGGTATCAGCACAGGCTGGGGATGAACACATGGAGAGCAGCCCTGGGGAGAAGGACTCGTGGGTGCTGGTGGGTGAGAGGCTGGACATGACCCAGCCATGGGCACTTACAGCCCAGAGAGCCAAACATGTCCTGGGCTGCACC